TACCCTCAGCCTTACCCTCAGCCTTGCTCTCAGCCTTACTCTCAGCCTTGCTCTCAGCCTTGCTCTCAGCCTTACTCTCAGCCTTACTCTCAGCCAGATCACTACCATTGATCCCGGTCGCAAAGATCCCAAGCCAGTGTCTGCACTTCTCTAGCCTTCAAGGTGCCACATTGGAAAACCTGATTTCTGTTCTTCTGGCTCTGTGCTTTCTATCCCAGGACAGGGACTGTGCCCTGTCCCCAGAGGAGCTGAAGGACCTTTTCAAAGTCTTCCCCTATATGCCGTGGGGGCCAGACGTCAACACGACAGTGTGTACGAACGAGCAGGGCTGGATCACCTACCAGGGCTACCTGTCGCAGTGGACGTGAGTATGACTCCAGCAGCCACCCGCAGGGTAGATGTTCAGAACATCATGTTCCCTGAGGTGGTGCTTCTTCATGCCAGAGCCGCTAAGGGCTTGATGCAGCAGCCGCTTTGTCTTCCGCTCTCCTCCTCAGGCTGACGACGTACCTAGACGTGCAGCGCTGCCTGGAGTACCTGGGTTACTTGGGTTTCTCCATCATCTGTGAGCAGGAATCCCAGGCAGCTGCCATCACAGGTGGGGAGGGGGCTGTGTTGTCATGGTGACGAGAGAAATGAGTTTTCGTATCCCTGTCTTTTTAAATGCTTCTGTCTCCCTGCATTTTTCTGCTGGGTTACCTGTCAGTATCTTCCGTTATATTCAAAGGCTGTCATTATTTATAAATTTGCCAGTTAGTGCCTTAAGAACCAAAGTAGCTTTACAAAAACAGCTTTCTGAGGTTTTTTTGTGCTCTATGGTGGATTGTTCAATATAAACTAAATTTAGACTTCAGAGAGGTGGCAATGGCAGAGATGGGGTACAGAAACCCTTTGGGACATAAATTAACTTCTAAACAGACACAATGTCACCTTCCTCTACGGAGGCGAATCTGGCTGACTGAGAGTCACCTGAGGAAGATCAGATTCCCTGTTTAATATTTATGGGTGTTTGGAGCGTCCTGAGGCATGCTGGTGTGAAATCTAAGAGCCGCTTTAGGTATGTCTGTGGCATTTAACCGAACAGCGCGTCCAATGTCGCCCCCCTGTGTGCGAACACAGTTACGCGCGACAAGAAGATAGACCTGCAGAAGAAGCAGACGCAACGCAACGTCTTCCACTGCAATGTCTTCGGCGCCACCGACAGCGGGAAGAGCGGCTTCCTCCAGGCCTTCCTTGGCAGGAACCTCCTGGTACGTCTCCTGCAGCTCTGGCCTGCTGTAGGTCAAGACACAGTAGCGAGAGGCTTGGAGTTTTTTAGGAAAGCTGGTGAAGCAAGTACTTCTCCCACACATTTAGTATGAAGCTGCCTGTTGTCTATTCATTTGTTGTTTTCCTGTTAAAGTGTGGGATTGTTTTCCTCTCTTATCCAGCGGCAGAAGACGATACGAGAAGATCACAGGTCCTATTATGCCATTAGCACTACATACGTCTATGGACAGGAGAAATACTTGCTGGTGAGATGGTCTAAGTGTGTTCATGTGTCACTTTAGGGGCAGGAGCAGGTACTGGTCTAAGCAGAATTTCTGTGAAGATGTTCATTTAATTTAAGGTTCTTCTATAATTTTGTCATTTTTCTTTATTTAATTATTTTTTTCTTGACCTTGGATGTAGCTGTCCTTTAACGGAGGATTATTTGCGGTTATTTCCTTTTTTCATGTGCTCCTGCAGCTTCATGAGGTCATCCCAAACTCGGAGTTCCTCTCGGACGCCGAACTCGCCTGTGATGTTGTCTGCATGGTCTATGACGTCAGCAACCCCAACTCCTTTGAATACTGCGCTAAGATCTTCAAGGTACATTTTCAGCCCTACTTAATGTTGGTCTTTAGCCTGGCCTTTTACTGTCGGGTTGGGCTGGGTTGGTGGTTTTGTACACGCTGCAGTCACACAGGTATTGTGTTGTGTTTTCCTAGTGTGACGGTCTCCACCAAAGCTGATAATGGTGTAACACCCAAACTCATGATAAACCCAACTGAAGCTGAGTGTTACTTTGTGATGCTGATACCACTTATACGATCCTGATTTCTTCCGTCTGTACCAACGAGTAAATTAACATTTGTAAATTACAGAAGTTTCTTTGGATTAAGGGACCTGCTCCTGAGTAACAAAACTATAGTACATGTTGTGTGCAATAGAGGCACTAGACCATTGATGATCTGGTGAGTTGGGGCAGCTTTCTGAGTGCTCCCGTGGTGAACCATCTCCTCCTGCCTCCTGTAGAAGTACTTCATGGACAGCAGGACGCCGTGCATGGTCGTCGCAGCCAAGTCGGACCTGCATGAGGCCAAGCAGTACTACAGCGTGCCGCCGCTGGAGTTCTGCAAGAGGCACAAGATCCCATCGCCGCAGGCCTTCACATGCAACACGGCCGAAGCCCCCAGCAAGGACGTCTTCACCAAACTGACCACCATGGCTATGTACCCGTGAGTTCTGGCCTGCGGACCTCTTTGCCTTCAGCGACCCTCCAGCCCCTGAATCCTCCCAGAACCCCTTCATGGCTCTAGTGGTTTTCTCACCCCCCCATCTTTGCATTTGCTTATCTGTCTGCTAGTCTGTTTGTTTGCCCCCTATCTATTGTGTCTCACCATTGGTGACCTTTCTGCAGTATTGTGGTGCATCTTGAGTCCTCCTTCTGGCTCCTTGGTATGTTAGGTGTGTAGGGGTGGCTCTTTGTATGTTGGGTAGAGTAGGATCATCTTTGGCTCTAAGGTATGTCTCTTCTTTGTAATATGGAGGTCGGTGGGTGAGGCTCAGATTATCATCAGCCATGTGTTACCCACTCATTCTGGGCCTGACATAGAAACTACTACTTTACATATAAATGGCAGGTTAAATATGTTTTATAATTTAATCTCATTTTATATATGCACATGCAAATGTGTATAGTAGACCAATATTAGGAAATCTAAATACAGTCAGTCCTGCTACAATGCGCGATATCAAACCGGGAATATCTTCCAACACAGTTGATATATTAGGACCCAAGTCTAATACTACTCAGAATTGCATTTATATTTGTGCAGTGTACAGCCGGAGAGAAAAGCACTTTGCGAATTACAATGGTATGTGGTTTTAGAGAGAAACACTTCTTCCTGCAAAAAAAAGCCATCCAAGTGAACAATGGTGATGTCCAATTCGTGAATGAAAAGAATCAAACTTTTTTTGTACATACATGCATTGCACAGGTCAGGGTCTTGTATTCTAAAAATCTAAAAATATTTGACAAAGTATTAAATAAAAACACACAGCGACCTTTTTAAAATTCACTTAATTTGCTTTTTGTAGACAGTCTGCAGCCACGTTGCCGTGTGCCCCTCTGCACACTGTAATCCGTTATATTTGTGCTGTGTGCAGGTCCAGCCACATAGCAGCTGTAGCTCACTAGTCTAAACTCTCAGCAATCGACAAGTGAGTGAGTTGGGCACGTTTGGTTGAAGCGGTTGCTGCTCAATTCTCGTGAGACTCATAAGACCTATAGGAGATGTTTACGATATAATAAATTAATATGTATTATTATTTCTTATTTAAAATCCATATATTAAAATTTAGGTGACTGGTTTTATTTAAAACAATTTGTTGCTGTAAGTTGCTAAGTTTTGGAGTCTCATTGTCCTAACCCTGTTTCGCCCACGAGAGAGAGAGAGAGAGAGAGAGAGAGAGAGAGAGACACACACACACACACACACACACACACACACACAGAGCACACGATTTTAATGAACATGCCATTGTCATGGGACTGACTGTATATTTACTCTATCAGTATCTTCACAATTCTTGTGTGGGTAAGCATATGAAAGCTATAAATGTCGTTTGAAATACATAAATTGCAAGGCTGATTAATTTCAGCTTTCCAGTCGGCCATCTCACTGGTCGGAGTTGGGCTGGCTTTGAACCGACACATGCGGCTGTGACAGTTTGGCCTGATTGTGTCCCACGCAGAAGCCAGGCATGTGTGTGATTTTAATTTACAAAGTCTATTCCCCCTTGTCATACGAATTTTCTCATTTGGAAAAGCTGCACATCTGCAATGCAAATCCAACATAAATAGTGAAAGTTGCTTATTTGCTTAGGCTGAGGGAATGCTGCCTAAAAATAGGGAGAACTGTTTATGCTGCTGCTTGATGTGCTGATTTTTTTTCACATATTGCCTGTTTTTTGTAAAAGGGAAAAAGGAATTACGTTAGAAATTTTGAAGGACGACTAAAAATAGATGATAAAGTCCTTCTCTCTGTGACAGGCTCACAATCTGCCTGAGAAGGTCAGACTGCTGTGATTCTCTTTCATCGCTCAGCGGTGGTATCAGCCGTACGCTGGATGTCTACAGAGCTGTAGGCAGAACAGGGGAGGGCAGTTGCTAGAGATTTTGGGCCCCCTGAAAGCCTGTCATATAGACCCCCAACCCAGACCAATCCAGCAATAGTGTGATTAACTGAATTCCTGATTGGAAGAAAAATTCTGGGCAAAAACATCCTTCATCTGCAGGAGTTGTTTTAGGAGTGTTTAATTGGTTCTTAGCTGGGAGAGGATTGTGGGATATATGGTTTCAATCATTCCTATTGCTTTGTGCCTCCAGATAATCAGGAGATCAGACTGGGATGCTCATTTTGTTACTTCCATAAATGGTCAATATATGAAGGAGTTCTGAGCTACAGTAATATGCTTGTGTGACAGAGAGCCCTTTTTAAATCACCGGCCCCCTCCTCCATTTTTGTTTTGCTTCTTGAACTCCGCTTCGCTCTTGCCTTTGTTCACTCTCTGGGCTCAGGATGCTTGCAGTGCCCCCGTTTCCCTCAAGCTGATGTTTTATGTTTCGTTTGACGTGTGGGCTTGGCAGGTAGGTGAAAAATTATCAAGGAACTGCTGTGCCATTTAATCCTGCATCGACACGGGAGGGTGTTTTTAGGACTGTGGTCAGTGGGAATTAACACGCACGTGTTTACCATTTGTGGGTAGTGAGTGGGGTTACTGAGCTTAACTAGCAGTGGCTGAGCTCTCTAGTTTCTATCTGTATACCCCATGGTGCTTATCGGTCAAGTGATGGTGGGGGGGTGGGGGGACTGTTTTTGAAGGGTGGTGCTGTGCTGCGAACTTCCTGTGTGCCGGTCCTGACCTGCTCTTCCTCTGTATGTGTGTCTCCGCAGCCACGCCCGGTTACGCTGCATGTGCACCTGCAACAGGTGCACCTTTTGCATCTGTCAGAACCTCCTCAACTCAGAGTTGCTGCAGTCTGTAAAGACCAAACTCTACACTGCTCTACTCAACAGGTCCTTATTTCCTTCCAGCACCAGGGGGCGCTGTCCCATATTCCCCCCCTCCCCCCCCTTGGAGGAGGGCTTTAGCAACATCTCTGTGCCTCGTGTCGTGCTTCTTTCATTCACTGCGTGTGGTCTGTCATCCCCTCATTTTTCCACTGCATATTCACAGACCCTGAACAGGATTCCAGACCTCTTAATTTTATTCGATTCTGAAAAACACGACAAATTTAAAATCCAACATGCTCCTTTCCTGTGAAATGTCTCACTTGCAGGCATTGTTGCTTTTTGTGGGTGCATGTTTTTTAATAGTCTAACACAGAAATGTGTATGGAATTTGTCTGTAAAAAATTACATATGTGTGAGCGTTCATTTATGTATATAACTTATTTAGTCATTTATTCCACATTGTTTTTCCATAAACATATACCGAAATCCACTGTTGGCAGCTCATTCCCTCTTTCATGATACCCTGAGCAGTGATTTTTCACAGGTAGTGGCTGGTAGTGGTTCTGGCTGGACGCTAATGCTCATTTTTCACATGGGGCCCCAGAGCCTTCTGCTACATCTCCCTGTGGCCCTCGGCCATCGCCTGATGGTCCCCAACATGAAGTCCTCTGTGAGATGAGCCTCCTCTCTCGTGAAGCCTTCAGGGATGAGCATTGCTTCCAGCTACGAGCGCACAGCTCATGTCGAGATGCTGCGACAAAGCTGTGTCTCTCTCTGTCTCTGATATTTACTGCATGAGTGGCTTATTTGTTTTGTTCTTTGTTCACAGTGTAGTCACTTGGTGCATATGCAGTGTGGAAATGTACACCAGTGCCGCCTCCCTTTTGAGGGCTGGGGGGGGGGTCACCTTGTTGCCCTTCATTGTGGTTATGCCTCTATCTAGCTAACTTCAATTCTGTGAACCTTGGAAACCTCATAAAGTTGCAGCTTTCATTGAAAAACAGACCCATGTCTGACATCTGGTGTTTATTAATTTCTATGACCAGTAGATGCTTTGTCTCTATGACGTTTCCACGGTTTAGGTGTTTCAACTCATCTATTGTTCAAACCCACAAGGCTTAAGATGCTTGTGATTAAAACACTGTGAAATTAACCACGATGTTTAGCCTGGAGGAATTAATTGGTTTTCCTCAACGATTTTCTGATCTGTGCTTCCATTGTGGGTGTTTAGCTTCTGAAGCATTTATCAATGTAATTTTCTTCCAATTTATGAAATTCTTTAAATCATTCAGCAAAGGAATTGAAATATTACTCACTAAATTGACTGCCTGAAATTATCTGGGCATTGCAGAGTTGTCTGAAATACTAAAATTGAATTCTTTGAAATATAATTGTGTACTCTTTACATTCTAGCACCCAAGATCCTCTTGTTGGTTTGAACATTTTTTGTCAGATACTGAAATGCGCACATAAAAATGCAAAAGAGCCCATTCTTTATGTTGCATTGTATTTTATTTCGTTTTGTGTGCCACCCCCTCGCCGACACAACTAAAAGTCCATCGTCATGTCTGTCTGCTGTCTTGCTGCTCCTCACATGTCCCCCAGTCCCGTCTGCGCTGTCCCTCTCGTCTCCTCGGGGGTTAGTTCCACGTTTGCCCTGGGCAGACTCCGATCCCTCTGAGGTGTCCCGCATTCATGTTGAGGTCCTGCTGCTGTCACTGCATCTAAGGCTCTCGTAGGGCGCTGTGACCCCCCCTCCTCCTCCTGTCTTCATTTTTTCCTGGGTCTTGTCCAGACTTCACCCCTAGGATAGAACTTCTGCAGCCTTCTCCGCCGGCCATGAGCGGGATGGATGTGCTGGGTACAGCTGGCAGGTGGTGTTTTTGAGCGAGAGAGCACAGGGTATCGCAGCTAAAGCCTGTCGAAACCAAAACTGCTATGGGCGCTTTCAAAGCGATGTGCTGCTTCAGAGCTTTTTATTTTGGTCAGTGGCTGAATGATGGTCTGCCTTGGGCGGCGTCTGGACGGCCATTAGAGGCGGATGGCGCCGAAGGGGGTTTGCAAGCCTGTGTGAAGAAGCTGGCCGTTTGAACGATACTAAAGTTACTAGTACTTTAGGGACCAGGGACCTCTCTGTTATTATTAATGTCCATGACGCTCGGGGACAAATAAAGTTATTTTGAATTTGAATACCTGAGCAGATGATTTATTTGGCAAAAGACTAACAATGTTACAGAATAACAAAGCTTGTCGATTTTTTTTTTCTCTGGTGCTCAGCATGTTTATTAATTTTTGTTGAATAATTTGTTGCATTATTATTATTATTTAGAATAGTTTTTTTCCTTTTTAAGGCTAGGTTATTGAATTCCAGTGCTGGAGTACCAGAATCCCACACAGTTTGCAGATTTCCCTGCTCAAACACATCTTAATCAGCTAATTACCAGCTTAAGTAGCTGTTTAAGCAGGGAAATCTGCAAACCATGTTAGATTCTGGCCATGCAGGACCGGATTTGGGGAACTCTGCTTTAAGGTGTCCTGTCTTAGGCTAGCCTCAGAATTGATGCTGTATCCTAAATCAACACCAGAGGGCGCTGTAGGCTCAGTATCCTATTTTACCTGCCAACGGGGCCTAAGTGTTCAGCACTGTAACCTCAAGGAGGGTGCTTTGCCACTAGCCGATGATGATGAGATCAGATTCTTACCCTGCTTGACATCATCCATGCAAAAGAGGCCTCCTGTGAGAGGGGCCATCTGTTGACCTGCTGATGGCAGTATCAGAGGCTGGCCTTGGTAGGGGCTTGGTGCACCCCAGAAGAGATTACAGCACTGGGATACATAATTGCCCCAGAAATGCAAGGCCCAGACCCACCACGCAGACGCAGACCTCACTGAATTTGCTTTTTGCGGTCTTCGGGTTCCTCCCCTTGTCAGTCTATTGTGTTAAACTAATAGTGCGTCAGGCGTCGATCCATATAGGATTCTGCATATGTGATCCCGTCCGTCGCTCCCTCGTCCCCACCTGGATAACGCCACGCTGCGTGTTCCGTCTCCCAATGGGATTGTGCTGAGTGACGTGCGCACAATCGGATCGCTGTGCCCCCCCTAACACCCCCCGCAGGCAGCCGTCACCTCTCTCCACGCTCCCTGCGGCTCGTGCGGTCGGCCGCAAGCTTTTTTTGCTTTGCCTCTTGCGTGCGCTTGAGCCCGTCTCGCTCCTGTGGCACTCTGTGGGGGTATCATCTGTTTTGTTTTGTAAGCTAGCGAGGTGGCCAGTTTGCTTTGGGGGGGGGGGGGGGCTTTGCACGGTGGCAGTTTTGACCAGTTGGTTTATTTGATGTAACTGGTTTGAACTGCGGCACACTGTGCTTAACACTCTTTTGTTTGTTTGTTTGGTTCCTGTCCTGCTCTAAATGTCGTGTCAGTGACGTATTTTTGTTTCACCCCCCTCTCTTCTCGGGACAGACACGTGACCCAGGCTGACCTGAAGAACTCCAACTTCTGGCTCAGGGCGAGCATCGGGGCCACTGTATTTGCAGTGCTGGGCTTCGCCATGTACAGAGTGCTCCTCAAGCAGCGGTGATTGGTCACAGGGGGAGCATGTGACGCTCTTTGGCCACTCCCTTCCTGCCAATAAGGAAGACCCCTCCCATCCTAATCCTATGACCCCTTTGATGTAAACGAATTAGCAGAGAATAGATTGTTTTATATTTAAATAAATATGCGAGAGAAATGCAGACTGAGCTGCTGCTTCTGGTTTCTCTGGGATCTATTTTCGCCTGAGATCATCCCTCCTCGCTGCTTAAAGGACCTGCGATGACCTAAAGACTCTTCGGCCTCAGACACGCCTCCTGGTTCCTCTTTACTCTTCACACCAGAATCAAAGGCCATACAAATACCTGCACCGCGGAGGAGCGCCCGCTCTGAAATGCGGACGATGCTGTATACCCTGTAAATAGTGTATATTTATAGAGCATACTGACAGTGGCCCCCGCAGATTCACCGCTAAAGAGCATAGCTGTAGAGTATGATAGCTATTAATAAGCTACAATGGGAGATGCAGCACGTCACAAACACATTTTTCTGTGTTTGTTTGTGGGTCAATTTTTAATTTATTTGATTTTTTTTTCTACATTGCATGACACTGATACAGCTCAGTTATGTTTTTGGTCTTCAGTATTAATACTATTGTTTAATTAACATTATTATTATTATTATAATTTACAAGCTTTCTGATCACATGTCTTCCACTGGGCCTTGCCTTTCTGTAAAGCCCTGTTCACACATTAATGCAGCCCCTGCTGGCCGTCTCTTGTCCAGGCCTCTGCTTGCTGGTGCAGGCCTGCCGCTGCTCCTGTAGCTGGCCAGTGCCCCACTGTCTCCCACTGGGTCTGCCTGACTGCGTCTGTCTGATGCATTTCATCCGTCTGTCTGCATGCTTCACCGTTTCCTTTGTTTTTTTCCCCCGATCTAATTTCTGATTTGTTTCCGTTCTGACGTTACTGTGTCAAAGACTGACGACTGGCCTCGGGGAGACCTAATGTACGCCAGTGAACACATCGCCTTTGCCACCTGGCCGTGTCTGACATTCACACCATTTACAATAAATAATTGTATGGAAACACTGTCTGCCTTGTGGTTTATTTAAAGTTCATCTGTGATTTTTAACGACCGGAGTGTTCGTTCATTTTAAAGGCGGACCACCTACCCGTATTTTTTTTTTCCCCAGAAACTGAACAACAGTCACGAAGATGACTCTAAGGGTTGGCTATATTTTAACTGTGGAAATATGCAAATATATTTCATTTACATTTCATTCTTGTATTAAAATAGATGTCCTTCATGTGACTCAGATCTTCCGTTTATAAAATCGTTGTGCATGTCTGCCATGTGTTTGTCCCATATTTATAGTCAACATGAGCAGGGTATGCATAATTTTATTTACCTTTTTGAAGTATTATGTTTACTGTAAGTTTCCTTAGCCTCTTGGCATGCTAGTGACACCATAATGAAAGGGCATTTTGCAGCATGCAGGGGCTATGGTCGCTGACCCCAGGTAACCCCAGATTCCTGGTCCGGTGGTGTTTGCCCCCCACCCCCGATTCTTCCCAAAAGCCATGATCCCCCAGGTGACTTGCTGGTTAAGCTGTTGTGTGCCCCATGACGCACCAGCACAACATAATGCCCACCTTCTGCCCTACATGGGCATCATCCAAATTGTGCATGACGCTAATGGGCCCATGAGTTGGGCCCCAGTAACATGATTCAAAACGGCTCTCAGGAGGTAAATAAGTTGGCTTTGTCGGCCATCCCTGTTCTCAGGTTAAGGGGAAACAATGGATGAATGTTTATGTTAGCTGGCATGCTCTTGAGAAATTTAAAAATGGTAATTAAAACCCTCAACCTGTGGAGATGTAAACAGGTAGCAGAGCAGTTGAGTGTGCTGCTTAAGTGCTCCCTGGTGTTGGTCTATCTCGGCTGTCCGTTAGGGTACAGTGGCAGCCATGGTGCCGAGGCCCTGCTTCCCAGACCATTCACATGTCAAAAGCTCTTTTTGTCCCCCGTCACTTGGGGAAAAAAAACCTCAAACTCTTCGGCGAAGCGGAAAATGGTGCGTATTAGCATATTCCTGAGAAATGAAGGGCTTGGCTTTGTCGGGCTGCGTGCTTGGAAGCGAGTAAAAACAATGCCGCCTTTTATAACCCCCCCCCCTCGCACCGCCAATACCCTAGACCGCTGAAACCCCCGGTGCTGGTGGACAGCACGCTGGGGTGGGGGCCTCTTGCCATGAAGGTGGCCCCCTCTCTCTGTCCCTCTGCTTGCATGCACAGAGCAGGGCCTGCTCCTTCTTAAAGTGACCCCACTGCCTTTCACCTTCCCATAATCACTTTGAGGGCCCTTGGAAATTTGGGGGAATTGGGCGGTCCCATCTCAGTACAAAAGCTATGTAAATGTTAGGAGTTTCCCGTCAGAAGTCTTCTGTTTTGTTTGTTTACTTATGGTTTCGATTAGGGATGGGTTGGGGTTCAATTTGTCGTAGTTGAGATTAGGGTTATGGCCATAGAAGTGAAGGCAGAGACCCCCCATAAAGATACCGGTACCTAATATATATGTGTGTGTTGCTTGGTGAATAATTACTGTTTGTTGCCTTTACAGTTTCGCATTAGACCATCATCACGCACAATATGTGAGTGTGACAACCAGAACGTCACAAAAATGACACCGATGTGATTTGCCACCCACCTTTTCTAAAATTATTCATTCCACTCAGTTTTTATATAAGACCTTTCCTGACGTGGTTGTGGGCAATAGGGCAGTTCTGTATCTCACATGAGCAATATCATAAATATCATCTCCTGCTTTGAAATCCCTGCCAAAAGATAGTGCTCTTGCCTGTTTTGCTTACAAATCCATGTATAGAATAATGTGTGGGGGGAAAAACACATGATGTGCAGAAAACAACAATGGTCGAATGCTCATTTTTGCAGTATGTTTATTCAGCAGGCTTGCAGCTCTGTCTATATTGCATGACCTTTGCAGGGGTGTCGAGTTTCACATCCAGCCGGCAGGCAGTAGGAAACGGTCCCGTCTGCACTCTCGATGTCTGGATTTCTGCTGACGGGCGTCACGTCTGTCAGCCGCCACCCTTCATGTCTTCTGCTGCCCCCAGTAAAGCAGGCAGACGCTAGACGGCCCGACGAGCGTCTCCGAGGAGCCGGGATGATGGGAACTGCAGAGGCGCCCGATGACTCACCGTGAAGACGGGGATTCGCTGCGGCTCCGCGCCGACCCCGCGTCTGGTACCGCAATCGAGGTGATCACATGCAGAAAGAGGCCGGCCAGTGATACTGCTGGGGCTCGGGGGCGGGGGGAGGCGTCGTAGCTTCTCACCATCAGGGTCGTGGTTTCGGCTCCAAGCATGTTCTCCCTCTGTGTCTGCACTGGGTTTCCTCCCGAGGTCCAAAAATTCATCCGTGTCCCTAAATGACCCACAGTGTGTGAGCACATCCTCTGCCTTGTGGCCTGTGCTGGCTGGAATAGCTTCCAGGCTTCCCCTGCCAAGCCTGCACCGGGTACCTGGTTATGCAAGACGTGTGGACTTTAGGTCTGCAAAGTCATTGGCTGAGCCACTTTGCCCAGATTTTGCTATTGTCTGCAAAACTTTGAGGCCCTCAGTGGCGAGAAAGATGGCAGAATTGTTTCCAGTTCGTTGCCCAAATAAAATATAGCAGCTGCAGCCTTCAAGTTTAATTTATAATGCTTAATTAGGCTGTCACATTATATCAATATAGACCCACCATATAAAAATAATTTGCTTAATTCACACCTATAAAACAGCACAATTTACAAATTTGACTTGTAATTGAAATAGTTTGTGATCATTTTATCAATTAAATTATTGGCCCTGGACAGGGGAGTTTCTAGCTATTGAAAAGATTAGGGGCTAAATCAAGATTACCTGAGGTTTAACGTTTTTTTTTTTTTTGAAGAGAGATTGGCATTGGGGCTAAAATACTCGGGGCTACAGCCCTGACCGATTGGACCTGACGATGCCCATGGCCCGAGAATATCAGTGTCAGCATAGCAAACTTCTAGAATTGCGCCCAGTGGCCACAGTCCTCCAGAGACACACCATTCAGGTCCGGACGGCTCTGCGATCTGGCATCCTGTACAAAGCAGACCCTGCCTTGGTTCCTGGGACCGACTCCAGGATGACTGTGACCCTCAATAGAGCAAGTGCTTCTGGGAGATTCTTTAATAGGACATTGAAATTTACTAAGGAAGGGAGGAATAAGACTTTGAAGACCATAATGAGTATGATTATTGCACGCCGCCAATCATCACCCTGTATCAATGTTTCCGCTGGGTTAAACCAGGCATTGATTGACAGTCTACGACACTCCCACCCACTAAGGCCTCAAAACCATCACCTCAGCCATCGGTTATATTTAGTATCATGTAGCAGTTCTTCTCAGTCACAGAGTTAAACATGAAAATGGAACGCTTTGGATAAGTGTTCAGCTCAGGGGCAGAGCAGCTGCCTCCATCGTGTCCTTCCCCATTCAGTAAAGCTACTGATGCCATCTGCCAGAGTGTTAGAACATGTTACTTTCACTTGGCTGCAGTAACACAAATGGTCACATGAGGGCGGCGTCCACAAAGGAGCTCAGGCCTTTTTTCCTCCTCCATTCTGAGCGTGAAGCCAAACAAACAGCTGCATTTTGCAAAGGCAGCTTCCCAATAGCACGTGTCCATGGAATTTTCCACTTCCTTTAACAAGCCAAAACTCCGTAAAACTCCTTTATTCATTGTCAACCTCCACCAGCATTTAAGCAATGCTGTCTTGGTATGGTTCTGTGCAAGACAACTGTCACATTAGCGAGAATTTTTTTTAAAAAAGGTGTTAATAAGCAAGAAACCTTAATTCATGATCCCCCCCCCCCCTTGAAGCAATAATTAGACACTGACCTTCAAGAACCTGGGCAGAGGTTAATATTCACAACGTGAAAGATCTCACCTAAGACTTGAAGATCATACCCTGATCTGCTCCTCTCCTTTGTGAGGTGACAATTTCAGCCCCATGTTTAATTAACCTTTTTCCTCTAAATTTAGCAGATAGGTGGTTCTACGACATTCTGGCATTTTCTGCCACAGCTCCCGCAAATCCGTCGCATACTGAAGACTCTCAGAGTCTCTCCTTTTTGTCTGCCAAGCCTACTTTTTTTTTTTTTTAAAACAGAAAAATTATTTTTGTTATCAGATGTTTGTTTTTCACTGGTTATTCCACTTGTGGTTTCTCAGAGCTCACTGTACCTAAGCTGACGACAGCAACTGTGAACAACGGCATGAACATTATGAAAGTGGTTAGCAAGTTAACTGCTTCACTCCCCCTTTGTGAGCTGAGGATTGATAGGTTTCTCTTTGACTCATGGCACATCTTCTGTTTTCTTTATTTCTAACTACGAAGCACAAATGTAGCCTACTTTTGTACCGTAGCCTCTCTCGAGGCAGGTGAGCCTGTGGAAGTGGGAGGAGGGGCACAAACTTAAGAGCAGACAGACACCTCTTCTGACGCGCGGTAAGCACTGTCAGGCTTAGCGCTCTCCTCTGTCTTGGTAGATTGATCGGAAGAGCTCCGCCATATCATCCATTACGGCTTAACAGAAACAGTGCGGGGGGGTTAGGTTAGGCTTGGGAGCCTGGTTAGCTTTGGTCAAGGTGAAGAGCCATATAAGACATCAGTGCCAAAAATCTGTAGGCGGCTTCAGCTGGGCCAAACACACTATCAGTGTCTAAAGGGTCTAATGTTAAAAATATCCTGAAAAGGTCAAGTTGTTACCATGGTAATGGGAATCTTTTAATGGGCACAGTATCGAGAATAAAGGTGAAGGTTTTCTCAGAATTAATTGGACTGTATGTCAAATGTATTCCAATAAAATGGTGTAGTATCTTTTTAATTTATGGAAGAAAAATGTCTGTGCTGTAGTTACGTAGTAAATGACGAGGCTTAAGAGCGTGTGATTTGGGGATGTGCTCGGCTGAGTAGGCAGTGGTAGGTTAAAGCTGCGAGTCCGGAGGGGGGGGGGACGCGACCTGTCAAGCTGGGCCCAGCAGAGCCTTTCGTATTTCCCTCCAGATTCAGAGTCCCACACTGAGGTCGACAGGCTGAGGGGCGGTTTCAGATCCAGGCAGCCACAGCAGTGGAGAGGCTGGGAGGGCGCTGTCCCAGTAGTGACGCTGTCCCAAAGGTGACGCTGGCCGTGGTGTCCTTTCAGGGGTGACACACAGCAGTCCAGAGGGACCCTGGTGGTGTAGGGGCTCAGATTTAAACCTGCTGAGCTTTATTGTAGCTTTTTTAATGTTAGTTTTAGCAGAGGTTAGAAAAAAGGGATGTTTCGCGGCATGAGCTCTCTCCCGCTTCTCTTTTATTTCTTTCCATAACAGCACACAATAAACTTTTGCATTTTTAAACGGCAGAAAAAAACACTAACCAAGTCTGAGTCATCTATGTAAACAGTTAAGTGCCCCCCCCCCCGCTGCTTTACTTGAACGTATTTGTTTTATTACATTTTTCAATGCAAAGTGCAGTGCAGAAACGAATCACAGAAACTGCATACGAATATACTTCAACATGTCTAGAATTTTGAGATAAAAGTTGAAACTATAAGTATCACTGAAGTAAGAAAAAGATACAGGTATATATCCGAGCAAGGGTACTAAATATGCCTGTTTAGGGAGCTGTACCCATTTTCCCTGTGCATTACGGAATAGAGTACTGAGTACCGAGTGGTAAAAAGTGTCTCCCACCAGCCATGCACGATTTATCAGCAAAAATGGGACATGTTCATTCTTTTCGGAAAAATGAGCACTAGCTGTCCTTGGTACAATAGTGTAACTCTCCCCACCCCCCGTCGTAAAAAGATTAATAATGGGGAGGATTTGGGTTCAATATCACCATGCCACTCCTGATTATTTGTGGTGGGGGGCTCGGGGGAGGTGGGGTTCATACTATGGAGGAACAAGAATACAATGTGCAAGATAGCAGAGAGCTGCTTGACATGATACCGCTGTAGCGTCACCGGCGAGGTGTCTGCGAGCTGCCTGGATGCGGGCCAGTTCGGGGGAGTCGGTCTGTGATCCACGCTGCCGGCGCGCAGTGGCAGCGGGCAGGGAGCCGAGCTGCGTCGCGGTAAACAGCAGCGAGGTACGCTGACGCACCTCCTTATACATTCATTTATCACCCTCAAAAAGCTATTTTCTTGCGCTGGGACTTCTTACCGTCTGCCAGTCCGTGTGTTTGCGTATTGCATCAGCGTTTTACTATAATATCCATGCATTTACTGGGGGCTACATGAGTTTGCGCGTTTTTAATGCAAATTCACCCTTTCGCCGCGCAAGTACGGAATTCAACTTTTGTTTCGTTCGTGTCATCCATGTCTTGCTCGTTGGACTGCGTTTAAGGGTATGGGATCAAAAGGAGGGGAGGGAGACGAGATGACGTTTTACTGAAAGCTGCCGGTCTCTTCAGCAGGTGAGTCAAACAAGGGGCTGATCGGGAAAGTCTCCGGGCGCCGGTTTATTAAAGCATCGCTCTTGTCCCAGTCATGGTCGTTTTGCTGCTTGGTGTCACGGACAGAGCGAAATACGGGTGCAGGTGCAGAGCCACATAAAACGATCGCTTGTGCTCAGCTTAGGCAGGGAAAGGGACACGAGTTCAGCGGCATTCAGCGTCTCGACATACAACTTTTTGACATCTATGAGCAAATCGGTATTTTAAACATCGGAGGCAATATAGACTGCACAGACCGAGCTAAGACTGCTCGTTTCTGTCTATTTCGGGATTTCAGAAAACCGATTTCGGATTATTCAAACGACGCATTTTTTTGGAGCCCACGGTTTGGCTCCGAAGCCAAGGCACCGTTTGCGATGTCGCACCAAGACACTTATCCCTGCACTGGGGCTGCAAATGCAGGCGGCTGCCTGTGATAGTGAATGATGGCAGTCATCTCCCACGATCCTGAAAAAATCATCCGGAAGGATTTAATCTGATAGCCTCCCGGGGAGCAGAGGCAGCCCGAGGATGCCCGGCGGGGCTCGGGACACCCAGGTCAGCTCCTCTCCGGCAGTGGCGGCGAACGCCGAGGGAGATGAGATTGAAGTACTGGAGAGTATCGATGTCCTTCCCATGGCCCCGGAGGACGTAAGTAGCCCGATGTGTGATACATTTCCCGAGTTTCATTGCCGTTCTTTTTGCACAGATGCAAAGGGGTGTGATCATAACGCAGGTGAATAGTCTCAACTTTCCAGTGCGCTGTTAAGGTGTGGTCGATTCCTGCAATTAACACCCCGTCACTTTTAACGCAAGCGTTTATTAATTTTAATCGTTTCTTATTGTCCACCTCGGGTTAATAGATGATTATTTACTGAATTGGGTGACACCTCAGAAGGTAATTATATGTATGACATCAGTGTAAAAATCAGTGAAATCACCACAGTTGATGTTAATTATCACACTTCATTTCTACGGTACTAACCTAATTTCTAAGGTCTAACCAGTAATAATAAGTAAATAGCAAGATATACAAATTACTATTCTTATTGTTGAGATGTGGCATCATCTTTTTAATTACTCAAGGAGGTGCATTGGCTTTTTTTTCTCATACTCAATTCTCTCTCTTTCCGGCTCCGTTCCTGTCTCAGCAATGGAAATCTCTGTTCGACAAGGTACGTAGCCCCGTGTGCGTGTGCCGGCTGCTGCCGCTTCTCCTGCATGTTCACCCTTGGCGAGACGCCGCACAGGCTGGCAGAGGGAATGACTGTGAAGGCTGCGTGAATGCACTCCAGGGCAGCGAAGCTGCAGCTAGCGAAAGAAGGCGATTTATTGCATAGTGTGCTTCGGTAGTTTTGCGAATACCTAAAGATACGCTGCCATGTCATATGTATCATAATTCATAATTATTTCTTAAGCAGTATGAGGCAGAGAAGGGATTTTCAGTGCCTGTGTGATGCAGGGGAAGGGCTGGATTCCGCTTGCGGTCTGTGTGTTAGGGGCCCCTGTTCTGGGCACTGGTAGCTCGCCCCTCAGCGTTTTGGAGGGAAAGATCTCCCGGGTGTGTCGATCCTTACACTGACCCGTGCAAATTGAATTAGAGTGGTACCTAATCCCGTGTATAGTTACTGGCTTTCCCTGCTATTAGTCGGTGAACTGGGGGGTATGGAGAGGGGGTACGAGAGGCGGGGAGGCGGGCGGAGCTGACAGACGGCGAGTGAGCCCTGAGTCTGTCGCTGCACCTGCCAGGAATGGCCCCCGTATTCATCGCGCTGCTCCCCCCCCCTCCAGAGGACAAAGGAAGATGGGGAGGTGGGGGTGGGGGCTCTCTGGGTTAGTGTCAGACCCACCCTTTCACGCTCTGGGCTGCGGTGTGTTGGATTAATCGGGGCCAATGGAAGGCTTTTTGTAGCGTGGCTCGGGGTGGCTCGGGGGGGGGGCTTTCTGCCCTTCCCATTTGTGTGGCATCATTTTGAGTTTTTCCAAGTGGCTCATGGCCGGATCTCCCAATGGGAATCTTCCGCCTGCTCTTGTCTGCTGGTTACCAGTTCTTACTCATCCTCTGTAGCTGTCACCCCTGTCCCCCCCCCCCCCCGCCCCTGGCCACCTCTCCGTGACCTTTCCATTTGTTAAACAAGGAGGTGACCTGAGGGTCATTCTGATTCCCAGGGCGTCATATCCTGAAGAACACAAACGTCCAGGAATGACGCTCTTTTTTTCTGAGAAGACAGATTTGAAAGGTAGAGAGGGTGCAGTGTTTTCCAGCTTGTCTGTGTGCAATTGATCACGCTCTCGCCTGCCCTTTAACCAAAGCTCTGTGTGCTGTTTTAGCCCTCTCCGTTCCCAGGAGAATGTTTCACTGCAGCATAAGCTCTTTCTCCCAGACAGGACATAGCGGAGGTAAAACTGATTCGTGTGGTCAGTCACCGCGGAGTGGGGTCAAGAATCAAGAATATCACAGACCTTTTGCCTCGCCCCAGATGCGTTTCATGGCGTAAATGGAAACCTGTTCCGAAAATCGCTTTAAAAGCCACCTGGCCGAGTGAAAACGGCGCCGCCCCGCTGGCCGGGAACCAGATATGCGCTGTCCTTCTGGGGTGTGTTTCTCAAGTTCTCTTTGGGCTTTTCGGCACAGATTTGCTCGCGCTGTGATCTTAAGGGCATCGTGCTATTTGGGAAGGGGTTCTGTTCCCTAAAGAGTTATAAAGTCCTTCTGCATAAGGGAGTCAAAAATAGTAGTATTGGGCTAAATATTCCCCTCTGCAAACTGTGTTTGCTACAGCGAGGGGCAACACCTGTCCCCCCCCTGCTGTGAGTCCGGTGGTAAGTTGGGCCCCTTGTTCAGACTGGTTGTGGGCCCATAGAGCACTTTCGCCCTCCAGCCCTGCATGTGGCCCTCGGGGCGTAGCTTCTCGCACCAGGGCCTCCTTCCGGCCCGTCCCCTCTCCCGCTACTCTGTATTTTTTCGCTTCAGCTCTCACCGGATATCTGGGAGCCTCAACCCGCTTCAAGGTGCGATCCGGTGCCACTCAGGCGCCCTTTCCGCTCGACGCCGGCGAAGGTGTCTGAGCCGCCCGCCACAGCTCTCCCGTCGCCAGCGCCTGCTAAGTGCTGACGTCATCGTCCCCTGCCAGCAGGAGCCGTGGTGGCAGTCTAAAAATGAATTTGTGTGACTTATTCTGTATATGGCAGTGTGAATTCTGTGGCTGTTTAGGGTCAGTCACTGTACACAGAGTGTGAATATAAAGGCCAACATCCTGTGATATTGTACATGGGGAAGCAGAGTGGGTCGGGGGATCTTTAATAATAATCCTGACATGAGAGTGATTGTTCCTCTGCTGTGTAGGGTGGCCTGACCATGTGTAGTCTGGACCAATCACGGGGCTTCCTGTTTGCCAGCGAACTGACTGCGAACCTCCCAGAGAATTACATGCCTGCAGTCATGACAAAATAAACACTGGCCCGCGATCAGAGGAAATATCAGGCTTGCAATATTCTCAGGGCCGCTGAGCCCCGTCTCATTTCATAGCAGCGAAGAGTAAGGAAGGGTGTGTTTGGTGGGAATTACAGCCCGGTGTATGTGAAGGGCAGAGACGCCTGATCCCCCTGAACTGGAATAATGAGAAGTGAACCTCAAACACTGGACTTGCTTGGAGTCCCCATCTGTTACCCGCAAACAGATGATGGGGTAGGTTAGCGGCAGCGGGCATTGAACTCCAGGGGTGGGCCACGAGGGGGGAGGGAGAGTCAGACATAGATCTAAGCCATACAGATTTTTGGTGGACCCACTTCCTTTAGCTGCCTCTTTATTTGAAAGACAGACCCCCCCCCTGGGAGCGACACTGCATTAACATCGCCAGCTCAGTCATCCAGCCGTTTTGCATATTCAGTACACGGTCTTGTAGCCGTCCAATGACAGGGCACATACCCAAACACTATTGGCTATTTGGAGATGCCAGGTAACCTAAGCAGATGTTATTGGACCCCAGGCAAACATGGGGAGAACATGCACACGCACACATGCAAAGCCAGGGGCATGAATCAAACGGACCAGAGTGCTTCTCACTGAGCCACCATGCTCCACTTGTAGCTGCCTTTAAATAACGGTTGTTAATAGGAGGACGTTTTCATGCATGAAGTGTGAAAGTGCGGCCTTTTCTTAGTCAGGTATAAATAGCGTCTCTACAGGAGTTTCTGCCTGTTGTGTTTTTTCCTTCGTTAACTGCTAGCATGCGAAAACCCCTTAATTAACTCCGGCTGAAGCCCAGGCAACGGCCGCGGCCCATCTCGGACCTCGTCGGCCAGCGCAAACGGAAGCCGGGTCCCCCGAAGGTGCTCGTGGAAGACAGGGTGCTTTGGTGTTCGCGTTTGGCTTTGGTATGTTAATCGGGGGTTTGCTTTACATCGGGGCCTGGTTCCGGGGGTAAATCGATGCCCCACGAGTGGCACTCCGGGGCAGTTCCTGGAGCAGATCCAGTCTAGGACAGCTGCCAGGTCACGCCCAGCTGTCAGCTTCGTCGCTGGGTTGCCACTCTGCTCCGTTGCCTCTTCCGACGGAGCTTCCCGGTCTCGCCATGCCCCAACTGCCGTTTTGAAGTGGACAGCGTCATGTTTGGCTTTCTGTTTTCCTGCTGCCTAACCAGTGGCCTTTGCATCAGTCCAGTGGGTGTAGTGTGCTGATCATGTGACCTCACTGCCCTTTCACTGCACTGCATGCAGTTAGACAATGCTAATATTGTTCTCATGCTACTCCCCACAACAATGTGAAAATAACTACTGGTTTCTTCTGGATATTGTCCAGTGCTTTCTGGCACATTGTATCCATAAAATTCAGCATATAACTGCAGTGAATTGAGGTCAGTAAAGGTTGCTGCTTACACACCAATCTTTCTTGACTCCCCGTATCCCAGTGAGCGTGGGCCTACAAACACTGACCATGATGAAACCTGCATGGCACTGGATATAGTTCCTGGTTCCAGCTATGGGTTTATGATGGATTTTCAGGTCAAACTGGGACAGGCGCAGAGCTGCCCATGTGAAACCCCTCCCACCAGTGCTGGCCCCTCCTACGCTGGTCCTCCTGTTTGACCGTCTCACTCTCAGCTGCGGGGATCAAAGACACCGACAGCGTTAACTCCCCATGTCTGAAACTGTGATGCTTATGGGTCCACCGCTGAGGAGGAAGACACTGTCATTCAGAAGCAGATTATCCTTAAATCAGAAGGCTATCTCATGATGTCTCAGTGTGTGTGTTTTAATATTTGGGGCCCGTGTCCAAGGTTTCACGCTTAATCCTGGAAAATGGACTCAGGTGGGCATGCTTTCCGGTGCATTCCAGAACGAGGACCCCAGATGGATCTCCGGGGAACTTAACAGGACTAGCAGGTTGGATACCGATAGAGAAAAATGGTTGGCTGTCTTCTCATCTCTGCAAAGAAAAAAAAATGCAAAGAATGAGATTAGTAATAAACTTTTGAAGCTTTGAACTTTTTTCAGCATGTAGAGCTGAGTGATGACCTTCAAGTCAAGTCAAGCCTCTGGCCCGGTCTGGTGATCCGTCAAATCTAACCGTGTAAAATCAGACATTTCATTTTTTCAGCCAGGTCTCTAAAACAAGCTTATTTGTGGTTAGATTGACTCGGAGAAGAATCTGTAAAAAAAAAAAACATTTTATTAGGGCGCGTGGTGGTTCAGTGGTTAGCACTGTTGTTGTCTTCCTTCAAGGCTGTGGGTTCAAATCCAGTTTGCATGTTATCGCCCCCAACTCTGGGTTTCTTCCTGTTGTCTAAAGACAGGCAGGTAGCTGAACTGGTGTCTCTAAACTGCTTGTGAGTGGATGCTCTGTGATGCATTAGTGTCTCATTAGGGCGCCCCCTGCCTGTGATTCCTGGGATAGCCTCCAGGCTCACCATAACTCTGGATAACTGGCTGGAAGATGGATGAATTACTTGATGCCTTCACGTAAGACTTTAACTTCACTACCCTGTTTTGTCTGGTGTTGAGGCATCGTGTCAGTAAGCGCTCAGAGATGTGGCCTTGTGGCCTGTGGGCCCCATGCAGTGAACGACAGGCCCAGTTGTGGCCATCCTGCTGTTCGCCTGAATAGCTCCACAAATTGGCCCGTTTAAAATGCTCCTTGCCTGCACCCCCCCCCCCCAAACCTGTGAATTTGCTC